CCCCGCGGCGGGGTTCCGAGGGTCAAACCTCTACCCCGGCTTTGCCCCCGGGGACCCCCGCGTGACAACCCTGATCCTAAAGAGGAGTGTCCTCTATATGCAGAGATCGTTAATACTCATGTGTGGGACAACAAATATAATAAGTGGAATTGAAGAAAGGATGATCATGGTCTCTTTGAAAAGATCTCTCAGTTGCATCATGTGAGGATCACTGAAGGCGATTGATTCTATCTACGTGTATTGCTAAACCATGAACATGTTAGTGGGGTATGCTCTTTTACCGAAATTCATAGAGTGGACGAAGTCGAATACTATTCTTTCTGATCCGTGTGCCTTCAATTGGGCCTTTTGCAAACCGACGATGCATACGATCAATGCATTGACACAGCTGCGACGCATTATATGGGTAAAGAAGTTCGTAAAGTATTTGCTATGGTTATCGCCGTTGATCCAGTGAACGATCCAATCTATTTTTTTGAACGACATTAGGATAAGATGTATGACGATTTTTAGTATCGTGCAGACAATGAAATGGTTCCCCCGAACATTTTGCAATCGTTTCTTATTTTATCTTGACCGTATTTTGGACGAGTCCAAAAAAAACATCCGCCGGTTCTGCCTTTATTATCCAATGCACGACGAGAAAACAATTGTTGAGAACATAACCAGACATTACGAGAACAGAACGGTATCATCGATTCTAAACGACGAGTTGTCGTATGATCCGCTTCAAATGCAACGCAAACACGACTCTAATTTTGACGTTTTCGACCACGCCAACGAGTGTTGGTAGAAAGAGTTGTTCGGGTTATGCAAGAAAAAAAACCGTTGTGTGTTTTTGTTACTGCACCCACTGGAAGAGGAAACATTTTTTGCATCGAAACGATTTTGGCGGGTATCAGGTCCCGTTCTGCCATTGGACTGACCGTGGTGTCCAGTGGCATAACTGCGATTTTTTTAACAGTGACATGGTTGCACCTTTGAAACCCGATAACACTCGTCCCTTCTTAATTCCGAAACAAAATCTTGCAGAACTCATCTGTCGTGCAGACTTGATTGTTTGAAAAAAGACTCCGATGAGTAACAAGTTTCACTTTAAAGCTCTTTACGTTACGTTTCATGACCTCTATAACAATAACGAGCCGTTTGGTGAGAAAGTTCTACTTCTTGCTGAGAATTTTGGACTGGTTTTGCTTGTTGTGAAACACTGATCGCGAGCGCAACAAATTGATGACTCCATCAAAATGTCTCCTTTGTGGAACTTTTTGAGGTTCATTAACTCAGCGAAAATATGTGAATCTTAAGCTTATTTGATGACAAAATGACATGAATGTATGCCCACGTTTTCATGTATGTTGGGAATGGTGAACGTCCTCGTGTTGTTTCTAATGAGTCTGCTGCAGTCAGATTACCACGTGAGATTTGTACAGATAAACCAATTGATGAGTTGATTTCATGAACGTCTGACTATGTGTCCAACCACGTGGGGGACGCCGAGTATTTCTCACCTCGATTAATTTTATACCCCTACTGATGACGATGTCGGTTCTGTTAACAATCGTGTTCTTTACGATTTCCCTAAGGAAGTGCATGAGTTTTTCAGCGTTAATTGTCCTGATTCGGATGATACCGAACTCGGTATTGAGTGAGAGTTTTTAAACTCTCTCAATGAATCAGACCTTCCACGTTACAAGCTGCACTTAAAATTTGTGTGTCCGTGATGTTTTTGTGAAATTTGTCGTCGAAGCAAGGACTTTGCGACGGTACAAGGCTAATTATAAAAACGATCGTTAATGATAATTTGTTGAAAGTGACAATAATGCGCACGGGTAAGATAGCGATGATCCCCAACATTGATCTGACAAGCACCACGGGTTCATAGCAGAGGATGTCTGGGGCCACAACGTCGCCTGACACCCTAGGAAATTCGAACCAGCTGTAAAGAATGGAAAGTGGGTCATGGCAATAAAGGAAGCCGACGACAAGTGGAGTGGCCTAAACAGACTGGGAGCGGGTCCATTTAAGAAAAAGACCAGAGAAACTTTAGTGGAGCATTTGAGTGTAGTAAGCCCCGAAAGGAGCCCACATGACGTCAATGCGTATGCACGCCAAAAGCTCGACGAGCTCTACAATAACAAAATGTTGGAGTTTCGAGCGTCTTTCTACATACTTGAAACGACACTGTCTCGTGACGTTGATTGGCGCATGCCGCAACCTCCAGCTGGTGGTCAGCATACGGGAGGCAGTGGAGGAGGTGACGGAGGAGACGGCTCAAAATCTGGTGGAGAAGGTGACGGAGCAGACGGCTCATGATCTGGTGCTGACAAAGCAGAGGGGAATGGGTCTGGGGGAGAGGGTTCTAGCGAAAAGCGATTTGCCGGAAAGGGGTTAGGCGTAACGTCGTCTGGATCAAACGGGTCCGGCGGAAAGGGGTCCGGCGGAAAGGGCTCAGGCGGAAAGGGGTCGGGTGGAAAGCATAAAGCTTTCGGGAGTCGCGAGTCAAGGGGATCTCAAAGCCACTGCGAAGGGAGTCGAGCTTCCGACATGCGAGACGAGGCCGCCCTGAGGTCTTATCAAGTGCGAGTATATTCGCACCTTTTTGCGAGGACTTTGTTTCACAATGCCGAGGAGAGTCTGTGCCAGAATACGCAGCCAGCGTATCCTGTGGACAACACCTTGGTCCTGCACCCCTTGGAAGAAGGCGAACGTCTTCAGCGTACGGTGACATCTCCTGAGCGGCAAAACTATTCCTTACTAGGAACTGCGTTTTCGTTTTGCCTGGATGTCGGGATGCCTACATTGCGAAGCAGCGAAGGTGTGAGCATCAACTCCCTGAGCTCTAGCGAGCGCCGCAAAGTCCGAATAGATTTGGGGTTACCGACTTCCCCCTGCGGACCGTCCGCCGGCAGTGCTGCTCACACTACAATTCTGCAAGGCGAAGAACATGTGAGGTCCAACCCCCAACATCTTCAGTTGGGCACAGTGTTCCCCTGCTCACCGTCGTTCTCAATTGTAAGGACTCAAGACTGGTCGTCTCGCAAAGTGCTGGAGGGGCCCGCCGCAGGAGTGTTGGAGACCTGGGCTATCGAGTGTCAATGTCATGCTTCAGAGGGTGCGTCCATCGACTTTGAGAGCAAGAGTACAGCAGCTCCGGGGGAAGAGGAGCTCTCGCAGGAAGCGCATGTTGTGCAGCGGGAAGAGGAGACTCAACAATGGCCACCTCAGAAAGTGTTGGAGGGGCTCGATGCAGGAGTGTTGGAGACCGGGGCTAGCGAGCATCAATGTCATGCTTCAGAGGGTGCATCCGTCGATTTTGAGAGCAAGAGTACAACAACTCGGGGGGAAGAGGAACTCTTATAGGAAGCGCATGTTGTGTGGGAAGAGGAACTTCTCCAGGGCTCATCGAAAAATACCATCAACATCGGGGACACCGAAGAGGTTCTGCACAGTGGGTCGCCATTGATGACGCAAGAGGATGACGTTAAGGGAGGTCAATGGACGTTTGTAGAAGGCAAAGACCGTGGGGATGAAGGACGTGCGTGGACGTTTGTGGAAGCTCGGCTTCTTGGCGATGTGGAAGGCGAAGAAGAACCTGTGGTGGAAGCTCAACTTCTTGGCTATGAGAAAGGCGAAGAACGCGTGGTAGAAGCTCGACTTTTTGGCAGTGAGGTGTCGGTCGGCGTCAAGGATACCGAATCGGCTGTGCATAGTGAGTCTAGGTTGACGATGCCTCTCCACATGGATCCAAAGCGGAAAGATCGTGATTCTCCATCCACCCGCTGCGGTGAAGAACAAGGTGATCGAGCGTTTGTCGTCAGTACCGGTCGGGAAATGGTACTTCATGAAGCCATCGAGTTGGTTAGCGACTCAGTTGTGGTTGAGGTGCCGAACATCGAATCCTCCGTGGATGTTGGCACAGTGGCGCGACAGGAGGCCGATTTCACATCACAAGCTGCACTTAAAATTTGTGTGTCCGTGATGCTTTTGTGAAATTTATCGCCGAACCAAGGACTTTGCAACGCTACACAGCTAATTATAAAAATTATTGTTAATGATAATTTGTTGGAAGTGACAATAATGCGCACGGGTAAGACAACGATGATCCCCAACATTGATCTGACAAGCGATGGCGAGAAAAACAAGTTCAAATAGTTTTTGAGATAATTTTCAGTTCGTCTTGTTTTTGCTATAACGATTAACAAGTCGCAAGGACAAACCGTATTGCTTGTGGAGGTTTGGCAGCACAAGCCGTTTTTTGCGCATGACGAATTGTACGTTACTTCGCCGAGTGTTGGTCATCCCACCACCATCCGTGTTGCGTTGCCTGAGAAGAATTTTTTGACGAAAAATATTGTATATCATGAATTTTTTGGATGAGTTGTTCAATTAATTTCGTTTTTTTTTTCGTCGCAGGTGACTCCCGAATGCCCCATAACTACGACATTCGTGCTAAGAGGAAAGCAATTGGAAACCAGCAATAGTACTCAATATAATCCGAATGTTACGTCAAAAGTTGGAGCCAAATATTCGGGGAGATCGAAGAAAAATGGAAATGATGAGAGACCGGTCAATCTTGGAAGTGAACATGCTCAGGACGATCATGTTGTTTTTGGTGAAGTTGAACGTGCATGTTTGCAAGGGAATACCATTGCTGATGCTGAGAACATGGTTGTGGTTGAGGGTGGTGACGATTGTCGTGCTGATGGGGATGGTACATGTAAGGATCTATCGGGTAGTCCTAATAACCTTACATTTCCCGATGACGAGGACAGTAACGTTACAAATGATTCGAAAGAAGATTGTGTTGAATCTACATTCAAGAGAAGAAAAAGTCGTGGTGCGAAAACTAATGTTCCGGGTTCCCTCGAAGTGTTGGAGCCTACCTTGGTGATAATTGGGTGGGACGACAACCTGTTGTTGATGAAACGGGAACTCGGATTGTGAGAGCGCTGAATACGCTCCCCTGCGATGCACTTGTATCTCTTCCGTTTTCCAGACGGGTCGTTGGACGTGCACGTATTCGTAATTCGTGTTCGCAATATCAACGCAGTGGACGAAAAAGAGATGTTTGCGCCACACCGCAAACACAAATCCTTCGGGGGTTATTGTGGTGCCCAATGATAATGATGCACCCAGACACACTTCGAATTTGCGAGCTTACCTTGTTATATGGTTTGACGATACGAAGAAGATTGACATGCAAAATGTCTTGACTAAGGTGCTTTTTAAAATGTTTATAAAAAGTGTCAGAATCGTACAAGATGGACGAATATGAGAAAACTTCCTCGACTGAAAAATAAACAAACTCACTGATATGTGGTTGGAACGACGATTCTCTCTTTCTTCAAAGTCGTTGAATGTTTTGAATTTGGAGGTTTCTTCGATGTTGCAATCGTTTTTGAACGATGAGTTCGTTGCCTTCTCTAATGAGGAGATTACCAAGATGACAATTCATTTACCACATTGTCCAACAGACGGGACCATTCCTGAAGCCTTTCACAAATATGCACGGATACAAAACCTTCTCAAAAGGATTCCTCCCGTGGTTGCTTCTTCCACTCCTCATTTCGCTCCGGTCCGTGGACTCTCTCTTTAAGCAGCATCTCCTCTAAATTTTCAACGTCTTGCGGATTTTGCTCCACCATCCAGTATGTCAACGCTGATTGTCACTACTTCTGTTGTTCTTTTTGTTTTGCCTGCCGCTACGACTACTGCGTCTCTTATCAATTCTGTTGTGTCCGCTCTTACACCATCAACAGAACATATGCATGCCCATACAGGACCCTTGGGACAACCAAGTTCTTCTAATTTTAACATTGTCATATGTGACTCTCTTGAATCTATTGTGCCCAAAAAGACACTTGCACACCTGTCCCATCTTGACAGTTCTCATAGGATTCAAAATATTGTGGAAGCAGCAGAGGAATTGAATACGAGCATGAACACTTGGAGGTGTGTGGATGTTGTAATTCATCTCGATTACAATCGTCAAGGACAGGGTCGATTCAAAACTTTCGAGGAGTATCGTCACAAAGTGTTGCAACGAGTTTTTCTTCGTGAGGTGTTGCAAGAGTATCGTTTCAGCGAAGGAAGTTGATTGGTCTTATGAGAGATATAGGAAGAGAGAGATCTTCATTAGACGGTCGTCTAGCCCTTGCCTTCATGAGAAATTTTCATCTTCGGTTTCAGTTACGTGATTGCCCCTACAAGAAGTATGGAAAGAGAGAAAAAAACAAATTGAATATATATATATATATATATATATATATATATATATATATATATATAGAGAGAGAGAGAGAGAGAAAGAGAGAGAGACGGCTTAAATAATCTTGACGTAATATTTTTGCGTTTTTTAAGTCGACGTTGATTTCACTACGCAATAATTGTGGCTTTATCATACTGCGGTCACTTGCTTACTGTAATGGAACGAAAAATCTTCATATGAAACTTTTTTTTCTTTGTACACTCGTGTTCATTTTCCTTTATTTTTTGCTCTTTTGTTGCTATCCTCTCTCTCTCTCTCTCTCTCTCTCTCTTTCTCTCTCTCTCTCTTTTTCTCTTTTTCTCTTTCTCTCTATCTCTCTCTCTCTCTCTCTATCTATCTATCTATCTATCTATCTATCTATTTATTTATCTATCTATCTATCTATCTATCTATCTATCTATCTATCTATCTATCTATCTATCTATCTATCTAGCTATCTCTTTATATATCTCTTTATCTCTTCATTTATCTCTCTGTCTCTATGTTTTTCTTTCTTTCTCTCTCTCTTTGTCTGTTTCTATCTCTCCTCGCCCTTCTCATGGTTTTTTTTTTCTTTTTTTTTTCTATTTATCACTTTTTATTCATGAATTAAACTTAGACTTTGTAGTAAGTTTTCGATTATTATTTATTACCATGTGATTCGTTTTTTGTTTTTTTTAGTCTGTCTCAGTTTATGGGAATGGTCCATGTCAGGATGCCTACAACATTTCTTATTTCTGCGGGCATAACCCGCACCGCCCGCATTGCGGGTGCTTATCTAGTATATATTGAGTGTCCGCGCGGTCTACTGCGACCGTTCGTGAGGATTGAGGGATTTGTGTCAAGAGAAAAGGGAGATTCCCCTTTTGCCTTTGGTTTTTGGAATTATTGTAGCTGGACGTTGGTGTCCCCTTGACCTGCTCCAGGCCTCTAATGATGGAGCTCGTCTCTAGGACCATAAGGGGTGACCTCCACGAAGAGTCGGAGCCCATCTACAACCCACTCTGTGTAGGGTCCAAAAGAAGGTAGAAATCTCAATCGCCTTGGCGGTTGTCTAGCGTCGAGAGATTACCCCTCTAGGCGCGTGTCAGCTGACACTTGAGTGTCGAACGCAACCCTCGAGACCATTGAGGATCACACGATCATGGGTGCTACATGGTACATCATCATTGCGACTGCTTGCATATTCAAGCATGGCTAGTCGGTATGAAAAAACCCTGCATCCGCGCGGTATTCATTATAAGTCCAGCGCGCGATACCTAACCGATTTTTGCATCGAAAGGTTATAGGTGAGATACAAAAGGGACTAGGAGTGTTTTGTGGGAGTATCTTGATTCTTTATTTTTGGCTTGGTGTTACGCGAGGTAAGAAGGATGCATCCTAGTCAGCCGGTGCCGAGCCGCGTTTGGGACTTCAGCCCCAAGTGCGTCAACTCGTGTATGGGTTTGATAGAGGCGTGCGGCCGCCTGCACCCCCTATGCTACAACGCACGAGAAACGCTCTCGGCTGAGCCACCTCTATGATTGCAACTGAGTAGCTTTTGCATGTGGTTCAGTAGCTTAGCGGGGATACTCCCGTTCAAGGGTGGTGACAACCCCTTGGGTGGAGGTAACTTATACCTTGCGTGACCGTATCCTGTCGTAGGGGTTCGCGAGAGGTATCGCTGGCGCATTCAGCCGAAGCGACGATGAAGCTCCATCGTACCGCGATAAAAAGTCATGCACGAATCCTGCATCACCATGCGGAACCAATGCGCTGGACAGGTGGCGGTGGTGTGATTGCCTGGGATCTCGGTTGCGTAATGGGATCCTTAGATATCGAACCCAGGTTAGAAGCAAACTGATGATCCTAGTAAAACGACAATTTTTATTATTGATTAGACTTGATGTGTATTTTAAATGATACAAGGTTAAGAGTAGCTAAAGCCTACTATTCTTCCAATGTCAAAATTTTTGAAGTCTTGGATAAGGGCAAAACTTGTCTGATATGGCTAAAGTAGAGTGTGGTGGTATCAGCAAGGTCATGCCCGTGTAGTGAAACTGAGTGAAATGTGAAAATAGTTATTGTGATAGAAAATAACGGATAAAAGGGGGGAGTAGTATAAAAGTAGGTTAATGCTCTGAATGTGGTACTTGATATTTTCTTAACAGGAAGGTTTGAGCTGAGATTGGGAAAAAATGGTGGAAGGGAATGAGGTCGATGGTGAAGAGGAGAGAATGACGGTGGACGTCCTGGTTGAGGCCTTGGACCGACAAGAGGTGGCACGAGGCCAGATTCCCAGAATCGACAACTTTTTATTCAAAGGTGAAAGGGTCACCGATTGGTTAGAGGTGGTTGAGCAAGCCATGGTTGCATTGCTTGAGGCTACAAAGTTCAGGCGCATCTTGAAGTATGTGTGGTATGAACTTCATCCAGAAGTGAACAAGGTCATAGCGGGCGCGCATGAAAGTTGGAACAAGTTCAAAGATGAAATGCAAAGGAGATTCTGGGGGACAACCTGTTGACCGTAGCCGATTTGGAGGCCATGAGTAGGAACGATTATAAGACCGTCGGTGACCTCACAGCTGAGTTCAAAAAGAAGGCTAAGAAAGTTCCTAGTATCTCGGAAGAAGAGCAGTGCACCATTTTTCTTGGGTTTTTCTCAGTTTCGAAAGCACAGGAATTGACAAATCATGGGGGAGTTGAAGAGAAGCTAACGTGGGCTACGAGGTTTATCAGTTCCAAATACGCCAACACAGACGGAAGTGAAACAAACACCCACGAACAAGTGTGAGGAGCCGCCAAAACCAGCTTAACCACCGGGGCGAACTGGTTAAGAACTGTGTGTCATTTTTCTCGAAAACTTATAACCCCGATTGTTGAATGTGTCCTTAGCGATGTACTTAGGATACGAGTCTTTGACGATACCCCGTTTGGCATCGTCATCAGACCCATCAGACAAAGCAGTAACACTTTCAATAGACGCTGCCACATGTTTTTGTAAAACTTCCTCCTTATCTATTCCACAAGCCTTCAGAACCCTAACAACTCTCTCGGAAAGGCGAGGCATCTGGACCCTTTTAAACAACCCTACACTTGACGAGGATTTCTTCGATAAAGCGGCCAATGACCTCCCTGAGAAAGATTTTCCGCGCAAGGCTTTTGAAGGCTTCATGGGCAGGGACATTGACAACCTCACACCCGTAAAACATAGAAAACAACCCACAACCCACAAGTTTTTTTTTAACAAGTGGTAATAGCTACATGAGCCCATCAGATCAATCTGGATGACCATAGAGCCGAACAGTGACAGATATGCGAGTGCTACTATTCACATATCTTACCGTGCTCCGAAGTTCTTCTTCGAGTGAAATCGGCCTCCTGTCGCGCCACTGTGCCAACGTCCACGGAGGATTCGATGTTCGGCACCTCGACCACAGTTGAGTCGCTAACCAGCTCGATGGCAGCAAAGTCGCTAACCAACTCGATGGCTTCCGGTACTGACGACAAACGCTCGATCACCTTGTTCTTCACCGCAGCGGGTGGATGGAGAATCACGATCTTTCCGCTTTGGATCCATGTGGAGAGGCATCGTCAACCTAGACTCACTATGCACAGTCGGTTCGGTATCCTTGACGCCGACCGACACCTCACTGCCAAAAAGTCGAGCTTCTACCACGCGTTCTTTGCCTTCCTCATTGCCAAGAAGTTGAGCTTCCACCACAGGTTCTTCTTCGCCTTCCACATCGCCAAGAAGTCGAGCTTCCACAAACGTCCACGCACGTCCTTCCTCCCCACGGTCTTTGCCTTCTACAAACGTCCATTGACCTCCCTTAACGTCATCCTCTTGCGTCGTCAATGGCGACCCACTGTGCAGAACCTCTTCGGTATCCCCGATGTTGATGGTATTTTCCGATGAGCCCAGGAGAATTTCCTTTTCCCACACAACATGCGCTTCCTATAAGAGTTCCTCTTCCCCCCGAGTTGTTGTACTCTTGCTCTCAAAATCGACGGATGCACCCTCTGAAGCATGACATTGATGCTCGCTAGCCCCGGTCTCCAACACTCCTGCACCGAGCCCCTCCAACACTTTGTGAGGCGGCCAGTGTTGAGTCTCCTCTTCCCGCTGCACAACATGCGCTTCCTGCGAGAGCTCCTCTTCCCCCGGAGTTGTTGTACTCTTGCTCTCAAAGTCGATGGACGCACCCTCTGAAGCATGACATTGACTCTCGATAGCCCCGGTGTCCAACACTCCTGCAGCGGGCCCCTCCAGCACTTTGCGAGACGGCCAGTGTTTAGTCTCCTCTTCCCGCTGCACAACATGCGCTTCCTGCGAGAGCTCCTCTTCCCCCGGAGCTGCTGTACTCTTGCTCTCAAAGTCGACGGACGCACCCTCTGAAGCATGACATTGACACTCGCTAGCCCCGGTCTCCAACACTCCTGCAGCAGGCCCCTCCAGCACTTTGCGAGACGGCCAGTCTTGAGTCACAACAATTGAGAACGACGGTGAGCAGGGGAACACTGTGCCCAATTGAAGATGTTGCGGGTTGGACCTCACATTTTCTTCGCCCTGCAGAATTGTAGCGTGAGCAGCACTGCCGGCGGACGGCCCACAGGGGGACATCGGTAACTCCAAATCTATTCGGACTTTGCGGCGCTCCCTAGAGCTCAGGGAGTTGATGCTCACACCTTCGCTCCTTCGCAATGCAGGCATCCCGGCATCCAGGCAAACCGAAGACGCAGTTCCTAGTAAGGAATGGTTTTGTCGCTTAGGAGATGTCACCGTACGCTGCAGACGTTCGCCTTCTTCCAAGGGGTGCAGGACCAAGGTGTTGTCCACAGGATACGCTGGCTGCGTACTGTGGCACGGACTCTCCTTGGCATCATGAAACAAAGTCCTCGCAGACAAGTGCGAATATACTCGCACTTGATAAGACCTCAGGGCGGCCTCGTCTCGCATGTCGGAAGCTCGACTCCCTTCGCAGTGGCTTTCAGATCCCCTCGACTCGCGACTCCCGAAAGCTTTATGCTTTCCGCCCGACCCCTGTCTGCCTGACCCCTTTTCGCCGGACCCCTTTCCGCCGGACCCCTTTGATCCAGACGACGTTACGCGTGACCCCTTTCCGGCAGACCGATTTTCTCCAGAACCCTCTCCCCCCGACCCATTCCCCTCTGCTTTGTCAGCACCAGATCATGAGCCGTCTGCTCCGTCACCTTCTCCACCAGATTTTGAGCCGTCTCCTCCGTCACCTCCTCCACTTCCTCCCGTATGCTGACCACCAGCTGGAGGTTGCGGCATGCGCCAATCAATGCCACTGGACAGTGTCGTTTCAAGTATGTAGAAAGGCGCTCAAAACTCCAACATTTTGTTGTCGTAGAGCTCGTCGAGCTTTTGGCGTGCATACGCATTGACTACCTGTGGGCTCCTTTCGGGGTTTACTACACTCAAATGCTCCACTAGAGCTTCTCTGGTCTTTTTCTTAAATAGACCCGCTCCCAGTCTGTTTAGGCCACTCCACTTGTCGTCGACTTCCTTCATTGCCATGACTCACTTTCCATTCTTTAGAGCAGGTTTGAATTTCCTGGGGTGTCAGGCGACATTGTGGCCCCAGACATCCTCTGCTCTTAACCGGTGGTGCTTCCCGTCGAAGAAGAGCTTATCATTCTCCCAGGTATCATGGTCCTTGGGGAGTTTGTCGGCAAGCGCGTATTCATAGTCTCGCTCTTCTTCCCCGTCATCAGACGATAGGTCCTCGATTGTTTCGCGCTCAAATGCACGCTTTAAACCGGCAGGGGACGTGCTATATCTCCGAGAACCACCTTCCCCTTCATCATGAACCTGTGTCACCACCCGAGGACATGGCACGGACTCGAAATCGAAGGTTTCGAAGTCGCTGACCTCCTCCATGTCTTCAGCGTCGAAAGGGTCGTCCTCGTCAAACTGCGCCTTGTAGTTCTCGAGGGTTAGTTGTTCTGCCATCAAGAAGAAAACATGCTCCAACCTTTTCAGGAAATTTGAGACAGACTCCTTGGGTGCACCGTGGTAAGCATTCAGCACACCGAACACCAGGTTTCTTCGTCGATTGTATTTCAGGTCGGTCTGAGCAGGTGGTCCTGGTTGGAAAAGAAACTCCCAAACCTCCATCATTTTCCTCTCGGACAATTTCCAATACATATCACGTTTGGGATCCCAGTCTCGTTCGCCTGTGGTCTGGACAAAAGAGCAATGGTTGCGAGGGTCCCCGACGCGTGTCTTCACGAACTTGTGAAGGTAGTCGATCATCTTCGCCTCATCCTGTAACGCAACAATGTTCCGACCGCTCCATAGGAGCTCCCAAACGACAGATGCATGCGCCTTCCCAAAGAAAAAATCAGTTTGCCCAACTCCACAAAAGTTTTCGAGTAGACGAATTAGATAAGTTGGTTTTCGTTCCCTGTCCCTGTAAGTAGCTCCTTGAACACTTGTCACACTGTCGTCCTCCCACTGGCTGCGAGGGAACTTGTCCTCGTCTGCCACGTCGAAAAAGGCAACAGCCTGTCCCGAAGGGTCGAAAGAAAAGCCAACTTTTGAGCGGGCCGCCCCTGCGGGTTCGGCTGGACTTGGAGCATTCACACGGGGGCGCTTCGATGGACTACCGTCCGGGAACACTGCGACTGTGTTGTCTGCTAAGTTATCACTATTGAAAACAGTGTACAGGCGATCATATTCCTCAATCAGCATATTGCCTTTCCAGATTGTGGACTTCCTTTGTGCATGGCGCACCTACTTCCCTGTCCTCACGTGATGAACGCTAAGCTTGGTCAAGCCTTTCAAGAAACTGAGCTCCCAATACGATGGGAAGAAGACCACAAGTGTCAGTGCCTTGGCGATAGGGTTTGGAGAACGTCTTGCAAGGAGGCGAAATCGTCTTCTTGCCAATCTGACTGGAGTGTGGGATCACACAAATCGAGGACGTACTAGTTGCATACGTAGTGTCGCACAATCTCGCGGATCTTAGTGAGACAAATGTGAGTTTGGGAAGGCGGACAACCGAAAGGAATAAGGCTGGTAAAGCAGTTAAGTTTGTGCCATTTAATGTACCTCACATCCCCGCTGACCCTGATCATGTCTTGGACTTCTTCCTCTGTTCGTCGCAAGATGGACCGGACAGACTTCTCGAAGGATTTAGGAAACCACTCATCATCATACAGTTTCTTCGTTTTGTCGAGGGACTCCTTCTCGTACAGAAGACAACGTTTGCAAGTGTTCACGTAGTCCATCGTGTCGTGGAAATGCTTCCTCAATTCGACCCACACCTGCTTTGTGAGGCCCTACGGCGCGAACTCCGCCAGAAGCTGCTCTTCGGTCCGAAAAAACTGGCTTCCATAGCGCCAAACCTTTGCGTCCTCCTCAAATTCAATGAACAAAATATAGTGGAACATGCGAAGCATTATTCGATCCACTTTCCTCGTCGTGACCATCTCTTTAACTCCCGGCTTATGTTGTCGTTTGAGATGCTTGCCCACCGATTGCACGAACACTCCCTTAAGCGCAAGAATGTCCTCGAGGATCGACATTTTTTCGTCATCGGTCATGTAAGCGAGAGATTGCCAACAAAGCATATCTGGCTCCTTCACGACGACGAATAACTTGTCATCCAAATATTTTTTCTTTTATAGTCTAAGGCGGAGGGACCCGAACTAGCCACCCCATCTTTGTCTCACCAACTGCCCCTCTCGAGCCCATTTCTAGAATAGCTTGAATCCCTGGCGATTTGTCAGGCATTTATTTGTCAGTCTTCGACAACGGCGTCTTCCCGTCTCCGCCCAATAACTTTCCCTCGACCCACTTATCGTAAAACATCATTTCTTTCCAGAAAACCTCATCATCGGTCGTCACGAGTGACAACCATTGCCTCAATGCATGGCAAATAGCCACAACTTTATCCTTGTCGGCGAGCGTTGTCGGATTACGTGCCATCCTCCAATGAGCGTCATTGGGACTCTTTCCCAAAAGCAGCGTATGTTACTCGAAAAACGCTTGTTGTTCGGCCTCCTTACCGGAAGGGTTTCCTTGAGGCTTGAATAGTCACCGGCCTTCCCTAGTTCTCCCATGCCTCCCGATGTCCTTGAAAGCGGCCTTCTGCGAACGCTACATAGATATCGTGTGTCTTGTGTTCTCCGCTAGATTGACCTACAAATACCCCCCTAAGTCTTCATCGGAGAACCACACGAATCTCGCTGGCGATGAGTGCATCTTTCATAATTCAAATATTGGCTCACCATCCAATTCCTTCACAGCAGCCACGATGCATTGTTCATTCACGGGGTAATAAAAATATTTGTCCTTGTCCTCTGGCTTAAAAACATCCATGTGAACCCTATGAGCTCTCTCCGGCTTCTGCGTCACCGGCTTGTAGATGAGAGCCATATATTTGTCTTCTTATCACGGAACTACCTTAGCATTGCATTCTTGATATCCTCCACACCATCCCGAGAGAGACTGTGGTGATTATAATATTTTTCCCACGACGGGATGTCGCAGACCTTCCTAGGGTCGATGACCAGTTGAATTGGGTGCTCCTCCACGATGTCACCGCCGCCGCTTCGTCCTCCGAGCTTTCTTCGGGCGATCGTCTTCTTCAACTGCCAGTTTCCTTTTAGATTTTTCGGAAGGTTCTCCCGCGTTGGCAATGCCTTGACGAGCCGAATCTCCTTCACGCATAGCTTCCGCGGTTTGCCCTTCGCCGATGGTCGAACCGCCGACCCTCTTCGGTTTCTTACTTATTGTTGCAGGTTCTTGTTTCCACTGCCTCTTTTTGACTTCTTCTTCTTGTCCGCCACGCATCCTTGGCGGCTTTTTTTCCAAGGCACATTCCCCGACGTCACCTTCATCCTCATCAATCATCAACTCCAAGGATTCTTTCATCCTCTTCATGTATCTGGTTCGTTCTGCCACCTCATCTTGTACCGTCTTCTGCCGCTCTCGCTTCTTCTCCGAAGAAGTCGGCTCCTCTCGAGAGTTGTCGTGCGCAACGCCCATCCCTCCAACCTCATTCCCTCCAACCTCTTGTCCTGAACTGTCGGATTCTCTACTCGCCTCATCCCGAAGCGAATACGTGTCACCCTAACAGCGTAACTTGAGGATTTTCGGTGTGGCGACCCGATGAGTCCCTGCATCTGGAGAAGTCAAGGAAGGCAGAGGATCGACAGACATGCAACTAGAAGGACTCGGGCCGACCTGCAGTTGACTCCTGTCCGCCTGCCCCACGCCCTGACCCTCAGTGTCGTGAATAATACTTTCGTGCCCTAGTTTCGTGAGAGGGGTTTCTTGAGCTAAGTCGGACGACCCCTCAGGGCTGGTAGAAGCCGGAAAACATAATCTCGTGGAAGAATCGGACGCTCTTTTGGCACCTTCAGCGCAAGATCGAGATATTCCACTGGATGTGGAAGAGGCCTGCTTTTGCTATCGTAAAACTCTTTGAAATGACGGCAACGAAGCATGTTCGAGCCATACCCCACGAAATTCTTGATCGAAACCATCACACCCTTGGCACCTTTGCAAGGTAGTCTGCGCATGTCGTATAAAATGGTAGTCTGCAGCTTGAGCAAGGCTCCAGACTGTTTCTGGGACGAAAGGATGGTACCGACAGGATAAACGTGGTCAACTCCCTTAGTGTCCAGAAAGGAAGCGGGCCGCATGAAAACAACTGGCCCAACAAGGTTCCCGTCGACAACGAAGTCCAAAAACCATTGTGTATCCTTCGAATGAAGATATTGAGGAGGAGATTGTGTAAGACTTCATCCCTTCTCGGGGGCAAACGCCCCAACGCTTGTCGATGTTTTCTTCGCGGACGTCATTTTACGCCCAACCCTAGACTAATACGCCCAACCCTACACTAAATTGGATGGCCGGGAGGAAAGCCACGAGGTTTTCCTAAGAGTACAACAACAAATTGCGAACTAACTCGGAGTTGTGGAAATAAAGGGCCAAAACGATGTACAAGATGAGTGTTTGAAATGCACACGAAGTCACAAACAATTGGGTAAGAGGGAGGAAAGACAATACTCCTCTGGCAGAGTGAGTTGGGAGGAAAGATAACAACTCCTCTGACAGAGTGCGAACCAACTCGCAGTCCTGAAAATGGAGAAAGAGGCGGCTTATCTTGGGAAAAGTGCGAACTAACTCGGAGTTGTGGAAATGAAGACCTCTATAACACGTACCACATGTTTATCGACAAGTGCCAACTGAATCAGAGTTCTGGAGAAAAGACAACAATTCCAACTTGCAGTTCCGGAAATGAAGAACTCACATTCAAGAATGAGTCGGCTTATCGGAGTTGTGGAAATGAAGACATCTACAACACGTACCACATGGGTATCGACAAGTGTGAACTAACTCGCAGTTCTCGAGAAAATACAACAATTCCAACTCGGAGTTCTGGAAATGAGGAACTCACGTTTAAGAAAGAGGCGGCTTATCTTGGTGAAAGTGCGAACTAACTCAGAGTTATGGAAATGAAGACCTAAAACACGTACAACATGGGTGTTGAGAAGTGCGAACTAACTCGGAGTTCTGGGTACCGAGGGCAACAACTCCTCCAACAATCTAAGTCGTAAAGTGCAAACTAACACTTCTGGAAATGAAGAACGCACTTTCAAGAAAGAGGCGGATTATCTTGGGGAAAGTGCGAACTAACTCGGAGTTCTGGATACGAAGGGCGACAAGTCGTCCAACACTGTAGGTCGCAAAGTGCAAACTAACTCGCAGTTGTAACTCCTCCAGCACTATAGGTCGCAAACTGCGAACTAACTCGCAGTTGCGGATCAGTTTCTACCTCAGTGGGATAGATGAACAAAAACTGCGAATTAATTCGGCCTTCTAGAAATGGCACATACGAATACCTATATATATATATACATATATATATATATATGTCTGGTCGGCGAGCTCACAAGGGATAGATGAACGAAAACCGGGAATTGATTCGAGGTTCAACATGGGCACTGATGAGTATCAGTTGCTATATATATATATATATATATATATATTCGTTGCGCGCTGTTCACGTTCGCCCGAACGTGTTCGTGCGGGCGCGAACATCTTCTTTTTTTTTTTTTTTTTTTTTTTT